GTAAATTTTTCATTCTAATCAAATACATGTATGAAAATATATTTTCTATCATTTTTTTTCTTTCACTTCACTTTCTATCATTTTCATTTCCATAATTTTTTTCTTCCTAACTAAACGGACCCTTAATTAATTTCAAACACAATGTTCAATATAATTGTTTTGTTTTGTCATGCTCATTACTGTTTCTTTTCAAATTCATCCCATTTTGCTTTTTTAGTTCATTAATTCACACCAAAAAAGAATAGTTTAAGTCCTTCATCTTCGAGACAAAAAAAAAATATAAAGGTAACCTTATGCCTTATTTTTGTTGCCTGAATAGGTACGATTAAGAACCTCACGCTAATTTGAGTTAGCAAGGTCTTAGTGTTTAGAATCATGAGCTTTTTACCGTACTCATGCCCCACAAATTTTTATTTCCCCAAATCAGTCATTTTTAGACTTGTTTCTCAAACTCATTCTCTTTTTCAAAATGTCTTTTGAAATGATGACTTCATTGTTAAAAACATCATTTCAATTCACAGTTTCAAACTTCAAAAAAAAAATTCAAATTTGGCTATAATCACTAATAAAACATCATTTAAAATAACGACTTTGAGGACGACATTTATAATGATGTCTTCACAATGTTATTTTAAACGGTTTCCTAATGGAGATAGGGCATAAAAATGTTTTGTTAACTTGACAAAGTTGAACAAAACATTGGATATGCATAAACCGTCACTTGAAAATGACGTCTTTAAAGTCCGCATTCTAAATGATGATTTATACGAATAAAATCAAAAAGGACTTTCTCAAATTATAGAAGCCTTAAGTTACAAATTAAACAAAATTCATTCTCTCCCAGATCACCCTCTTCATTCCTCCGACCACTCATCATCTTCTCTGACGACGAAGACCACTCCGGCAAAGCAACCTAACTCCAATGGTGCTCTTTTCGACGAAACAGCCTAACTTAGATCATCAAAGGGCTTCCCAAATCTCAAAAGTTGCTTGCCCTCCACTCTCTCTCTCTCTCTCTCTCTCTCTCTATCTCTGTCCCTTTCCCCCTACGAGTCAGATTACCACTCTAACAACCCCCACACTTAAGTTATTTTGCTTTCTCTTTATCTCTCTCTCTCTCTCTCTAAAATGAGGTATAATTTATAGATTATACCTCTATTGTTTATTATGACCCTCTCATCTGACTAGTTAGACCACCACTTTTGACAACCCTTACTATAAAGGTATTTTGTTGTATCTCTTTCTCTAGCATATTGTCTTGTGGATTTAGATTATGTATGATGGCTCCTTTGCATAAAAAATAATAATTTCTATGTGTCTCATTATCACTAGCGTTGTAGACATATAGATAGTGAAATGCACGTATACATATAATTTAGTGTCCATACCTACTAATACTCTTTGAAAACAACGTCATGATTTGATTGTTACTATCAAGTAACTTAGGGTGCGTTTGGTAACATTTTCGTTTTTGTGTTTTCAAAAAATGAAAAACATAATCAATTATTTTTTTTTTTTGGTTAATAGTTAAATTAGAAAATGTGTTTAGATGTAGTTGTTGTTTTAAGAAATTTAAAAATTAAAACAGAATATATGTTTGATAATCATTTTATTTTATGTAATACATTTACATTTATTTTAATTCCTGATAAAACACATCTACATGATTATATACCAATACATCCATCAACTCATAAAAACAATGCACAATACATCAACCCAAAATATTAATACATCCAATGTATCAATACATCAAGATATTGTTAATATTCTACCAAATACACA